TGCTACTGGGAATATACTCCAAAGAGACCATAACTGACATCGAATCAAATATATGCACACACACCCATGTTTATTATGGCTTTGTTCACAATAGCAAGGAGTTGAAAACAACCTAAGTGCCCATCAACAAACGAATGGATAGAGAAGCTGTGGTACATTCACACAATGGAATACTACGCTGCGTTGAAAGAAACAAGGAACTCATGCAATATTATTAAAAATGGGTGACACTGGAGGATGTTATGCTGAGTGAAGTATCTCAGTCACAAAAGGACAAATACTGCATGGTGCCACTGTTGTAAAACAGGAATGCCATTGGGGTTGGGCAGGAGACTGAAAAAGATGGGTTCAGTAATGTATACTGCATTAAAACAGATGAGGGAGAAAACTGTTTAAAAAGGGGTATGTGATTAGGTATTTTTGTCATGACAGAAGTCCAGAACAAAGGCTGAATAGTGGAGTGGACCTGGGGGAGGGATTGTAAAACAATGAAATAATTTTTCTTTTACTTTTCCAAGAGGGTAGTGTACTAGGGGGGAGGGTTGGGAGAGGAGAAAAGTACAACAATGAATGAATGGAAATCCAAAGTCTCTGTAAATTTTCATTGAAATTAATAATGTAAAAAAAGAGAAAATCTGCATATTTCTGAGGTAATGGAAATTCAAACTCCAAATCACAATACTTGTACTAAAATGGTCAAAATGAAGAAGACCAACAATACTTCTAGGCTATCATGTAAGCTAGGAAGCAAATTTCTGCAAATTAAGACACAAATTTCTAGTTTGCTAAGTCCATCTCTGAGGAAAGCCTTACAGGTGACTTTACTGATTGATCATTTAGGTTTAGAACTTACTGGACCGAGGCATAATTTATCTTTTAAAAATGGGGGGTGGGAACCAAACATTTTCATTTCTTAAACTTCTTCAAAAGACATATATGCAACTTCCATTATCAGTAGACTTTTCAAATGCCATCTTATTAACATACTTAGTCTTTTTAAGCTTCTAAAAAAAGAAGGAACTTTAGGAGGATAATATGTAGTTGACACAACTTTGCTTGCCAAAACTGAGGAGGACCTGAGCGTTTACTATAGAAAGTCAAGGACTGTAGTCTCAAATACGGATTGAAAGTTGACTTCAAAAAGACAAATATTCTCACTACTGGGCCTGTTGGCAGCAGCATCGTGATACATAGGGAAGAGTTTGAGGTTGTTAACAATAACAGCTTGCTCAGCTCCACAATCAAGCTTGCTTGGCACAAGTGAGTCAGGAAATTAAAAGAAGAATTGCATTGCGGAAGTCTGCTGTCAGAGACTTCTTAAAGGTGCTAAGAGCAACGATGCCAATATGGAAATTAAGGTGCACCTAATTCACGCCATGGTCTTCACAATTATTTGCTATGCATCAGAGAGCTGGACAGTGTCTAAAGATTACAGAAGATGAACGATGCTTTAGAGTTGTGCTGGAGAAAGAGTATTGAACATACCATGGGCTGCCAAGAGAACAAACAGGTCTTCCTTGGAAAGGGTGAGACCAAGTTTCTCCTTGGACACAGGGATTTTAAAGCTCCATCTCACATACTCTGGACATGTTGCCAGCAGGGACCAGTCTCTTGGAGAAAGACATCATGCTTGGAAGGGTGGAGGAACAGCACAGGAGAGGAAGACCCTGAATGAGATGGATTGACACAGTAATTAGGGTAATGGGGGTAGGTGTGTCGGAGTCAGTGAGACTGGTTCAGGACAGGGCCGGGTTCAGAGTTACTGTACATAAGGTCACTATGAGTTGCAGGCAACTCAGTGGTACATAACAACAACATAGACCAGATATGATAAGGATGGAATAAGATAGGAGAGGGTTCAGATTTGTTGTTCATAAGGTTGCTGGATGAGTTATATTCAACAGTGGCACATAACAGCAATGATCAAATGCTTTACATGAACTCCCACTTGATCTTCACAAGTGATTAAAATGAGGTTCAAAGGATGGCAGGTAACCTGTCCACAAAAAACTATCTGGAATGAGTTTTGTATCCATAAATACATTTGTCCTTAAATACATTTTTACTATGTACTATGCTATCTCAAGGCTGATGGAATAAATAGGGACTGTTCTTACAATTTCTCATAGTTCTCTACTCCCAAAGTGCTCAGCCTCTCCTTTCCTGGAAACAGCAGAAAATGAAATAGTATGTACTCCACTAATGAGCTTTAGTGGTTCAGTGTTTTAAACTTTAGGCTACTAACTGAAAAGTTCAAACTCACCAGCTACTCCATAGGGGGAAAAATGTGAGAGTCTGATAAAGACTGCAGCCGTGGAAGCCCTTCAGGCCCATTCTGTCTGAAGGGTCACTAAGAGTCAGAATTGACTCATTGGCAATGAATATGTCTCTATTTTAACAAGATGCTGTCTTTCCAATCAGAAGGATTTTCAGTGAATTTAACCCATGGACTGCCAAAAGGATAAACAAATTATGTCTTGAAAAAGGTGCAACCAGGGTGCTCCTTGAAGGCGGGATAGTAAATTTTAGGCATGCTGTTAGGAAGGGCTGATCCATGGAAAAGTACATGATGCTTGGAAAGATGGAGGGTCAGTAAAGAGAAGACCCTCAATGAAATGGATTTATGCTGTGACTGTAATGGAGGGCTTAAGTATATCAGAGGTGATGAGGACAGCACAAGAGAGTGTGGGGTTCGGATCCAGTGTTCATAGGGATGCTGTTATGACGCAACTGCACTTAACAGCAAGCTTCGTACAATGGCTACCAGTTGGTTTTTTTACTGATTAAGTTCTGTAATTAGCAACCATCTCTAACTTTGATAAACTACAAATTTATTTCTAACACAAGACTTTGAGCTAGTCAGATAAACCTCACTTAAAATACTAGAAATTCTTTTCCCTATAAAATATCATATTTCGTAGGGCCTTCATTTCCTCCTCTGTGGTGTGGTTTGTGCTAGATTGTCAACTTTGTCCAGCTTTAACATTCTCTGAATACAACTTAGTTATTAGAACATATAACATTTTTCCAAAGGGATACTGCTAGAATGGAGGAAGATCAAGTTTCCAAACTAAGTCAGAACCACTCAGTGATATATTACTGTTGTTGTGTGCATGGAATCAGCACCTACTCATAGCTGACCCTCCAGTGGGTTTTCAAGAGACTGTAAATCACGTGGGAGAGGATTGCCCAACCTTCTCCTACAAAGCAGCTGGTAGATTTGAACAATACTGATCCTTTTGGATTGCAGTGCAGTTTTTTACCCCTGAATGACCAGAGTGTAGTCCAATTAGAGATGTGTCCTGTCTCCATACCTTTTCAGCCTATTTGCAGAACAGATTATCCTAGAGGCTAGGCTCTGTTAGGAGAAATGTGACATCAGGATTGGAGGAAGACTCATCATAAGTCTGTGTTTATGCAAATGACACAATTCTGCTTGGTGAAACTGAGGACGACCTGAAGCACTTGCTGCAAAAGGTCAAGGACTGAAACCTTCAATATGGATTGAAGCTCAACATCAAGAAGACAAAGATTCTCACCACTGGGCCAAATGGCAGCATCGTGATAGATGGTGTAAAAACAGAGATTGTTAACAGATTTAGTTTGCTTGGCTCCACAATCTTGGTACCAGCCGCCAGGAAATCAAGAGACAAATTGTCAGGGACCTCTCCAAAGTACTGAAGAGCAACAATGTCAGTCTGGAGACTAAGGTGCTCCTGATCCAGGCCATAGTCTTTTCAGTCACTTGCTGTATATCAGAAAACTGGACAGTGACTAGGGATGATAGGAGAATTGATGTTTTTTAGTTGTGCTGGAGAAGAGTATTGCATATACCATGGAGTGCTAGAGAACAAACAGGTTCATCCTAGAGAGGTTGAGACCAGGCTGCTCCTTGGAGGCAAGGATTCTGAAGATTCATCTGGCTTACTTTGGACATGTTGCAAAGAGAGACCAGTCCTTGGAGAGGGACATCATACTTGGGAGGGTGGAGGCACAGATGGCACATGAGAGGAGGACGGTGGATGAGATAGATTGATTCAGTGACTGGGTAATGCAGGTAGGTGTGTCTAAGACAGATTAGCACAGGATAGAGCAGGGTGTAAGGCTGTTGAAGAGTTGCTATGAGTTGTAAGCAAGTCAATGACACATAACAACAGTAACATGTTTAGTAGAAATTTATAATCCATTCCTGAAGTGTTAACTTCAGTTGTCTTGAGCTCTTCCCACTACATCATACAACAGCTTGCCAGAGGACAAGAAACTATGCTAAAGAGATAGTGCAAATTTTGAGGGCATCAGTATCTAAATTTACTTGCAAGTAGCGAGATATATATATAGATATATATACATACATACGTAAATACATAAACACACACTTGTGTAGTCCAGTATATTAGCTACAAGTTACACATATCTATTCAAATTCAAAATTAATTCCTTATTTATATTGTTGTTTTAGGTACCATCAAGTCAGAACCAACATACCACTGACCCTCAAGTGGGTTTTCAGAGACAGTTTTTTTGCTTTGTGTTTTTATTCATTTTTTCAGGAGGAGATTGCCCATCCAAGCAAACTAAAGCTGGTGGATTAAAACTGTGTGCCCTTGGGATTGTAGTGCATTTTCTTACCACTAGGCCACCAGAGCTCCCTGTCTTATTCATATTAGTACATTTTAAATGCTTTGGTAACAGCATGTAGCTAAAATATTTTATTTATTGCAAAAACTTTTATTGATTGAACCCATCCATATCTACCTCACACTGGGATGAAGGTAGCATATCTAGTGCTTTATGCCATTGTGTTAAGTTCTCCTGTGAATAAGTTTTATACCAGATCAGTGGATCAATATATAGTTTTCATCCGAAAGAAATGATCATAACCTAAGTTTGAAAACCCTTTTTAAAAAAAAGAAAAATTGATGCTTGGTAGTATTGTCTAGTGATGAAAGCAAGTTGATATTAAATATCTTTAGAGATAATTTTTAAAAACTACCTTTTAGGCACCTGAGATTCTGTTACAACATGGAGCAAATCCTAATCAAAAAGATCAGAACCGGAAGACTGCTTTGGATGAAGCAGATGATGGGAAAATGAAAGAACTGCTAAAATCTTATGGTGCTATTGCGACTGATAAAGATGAGAGTAATACTGGTATGTATGTCAGTTTTGCTTGCTATTTTATATAGATTTATACATCTGAGAATGAAGTACTGTTAACCAAAAGGTTCATGGTGCCCACTCATCAGCCACTCCTCATGAGAAAGATGACACAGTCTGTTCCATTGTGATTTTCAGCCTCATAACTCCCATGAGACATTTCCTACTTTGTCCTGATTCATCATCAGTTCAGCTGCAGTGAATTTGGTTGTACTTCTGCTTGTTGTTGTTATGTGCTATTGAGTTGCTTGCAACTCATAGCAGTCCTATGTACAAGAGCCCTAAACCCTGCTCTATCCTGTGCCAACCTCACTAGCTCCGACACACCTACTCTCACTATCCCAATCACTGAATCGATCCATCTCATTGAGGGTCTTCCTCTCCTGCACTGTCCCTCCAGTCTCCTAAACATGATGTCCCTCTTCAAAGACTGGTTCCTCTTTGCAACATGCCCAAAGTATGTCAAACGAAGCTTCAGAATCCTTGACTCCAAGGAGCAGCCCAGCTTCACTCTCTCCAGGACAAACCTGTTCTCCTAGCAGTCCATTCAACACTCTTCTCCAGCACCACAGCTCAAAGGCATCAATTCTCTTTCTATCCCTAGTCACTGTCCAGCTCTCCGATGCATAGCACACAATTGTGAAGACTATAGCCCAGATCAGGTGCACCTTAGTCTCCAGACTGATCATGTTGTTCTTCATTACTCTGGAGAGGTCCCTGACAGCTGACTTTCCTAATGCAATTCATCTCTTGATTTCCTGGCTGCTGTTACCAAGATTGTTGACTGTGGAGCCAAGCAAACTAAAACTATTAACTATCTTAATCTCTTCACCATCCATACTGTTGCTGCCAGTTGGCCCAGTGGTGAGAATCTTTGTTTTTTTGATGTTGAGCTTCAGTCCGTATTGAAGGCTACAGTCCTTGACCTTCTGCAGCAAGCACTTCAGGTCCTCCTCAGTTTCAGCAACAGGGTTGTATCATCTGCATAATGCAGGTTGTTGATGAATTTTCCACCAATCCTGATGCCACATTCCTCCTTGTACAGCCCAGTGTTCCAGATGATCTGTTCTGCATATAGCGTAGAAAAAGAAAATCTTTAGAATTGTATAAATTATTTGAAAACCAAAAATAGATCCTATTTATTTAATAAATGCTTGGCAAGCTATTATTTTTTTTATAGCAAACGTTTCCAAATTTAACATATGGATCATATAATCCTACCAGATTGAATTTACACTGAAGTGTAATCTACTGCATTCATTAAACAAACATATTTCTCTATTTTTTTTATTTTTATTCTTTTTTATGTGTGTATCGTCAAATCGGATCTGACCGGTACAAGAAGAGATTGCCACTCCTTCTTCAGCAGAGCATCTGGTGGATTCAAACCACACACCTCTGGGATTGCAGTGCAGCTTCTTTACCACTAGGCCACTAGAGCTCAACATGTTTCTCTTAAATATTGGATCTGAGGCAGAGATGTAACTGATACCATGCAGACTGGTTTACTTATGAGTAGGGCTCAGGAAAAGATGAAATATAATGAAGTCTTTGAAGCAGATTGTTTTTCTCCAAAATTTATGGTTATTACACATAGCTTGAACTGACATAAACTTTTAAAGAACTTAATATTTTAGTACTGGAATGTTAATTTTAGGCAGATTACATATTACACATTAATATTATATATTACAGTGAAAAGAATATTTCAGAGGCAAACAAACTTCATGAACTACTTTCAGCAGTGGTTTATGCTTAAAAATATAATGAATTATCAGTAACTAAAAGGAATTTAGAGAACGCTGGTGGTTTAGTGGTAAGGAGTTGCACTGCCAACCCAAAGCTATGCAGTTCGAATCCACCAGCTTCTCTGCGGGAGAAAAGACAGACAGTCTCTTTTCATGCATCTTACTGCCTTTGAAAACCTGTTAGGGCGTCGGCTATGAGCTGATTCTGACTAAATAATGCATAAAAACATCATAACAAATAGGAATTTAATTAACATTCATTTCATAAACAGGCTTTGGTGGTTCAGTGGTGGAATTCTCACCTCCTGTGTGGGATACCTGCTTTGATTCTGGCCAATGTATCTCATGCACAGCCACCATTCATCTGTCATTGAGAGATGGAGAGTTGCATTTTGCTACGATACTGCACAGGTCTCAACAAAGCTTCTAGACCTAGAAGACTTGTAGATCTGCTTCAGAAAATCATCTGAAGGATCCTTTGTTGACCACAATAGACAGGTGCACAAACAGTCATAGGGATGGCACAAGACCAGCAGCCTTCTGTTCAGTTGTGTAATGGAATCAACATAAGGCAGGGGGCTGAGTCAATGGCAGCTAAACAATTTGGAAAATATATTTGTTGAACACCTATGCACTTTTCCATGAAGAATTTCCTATCTTGTGAAAAGACGAACCAGAGAATAGACATTCAAAAGAATGCTTTAATCTTGACCCAGAAACGTATCTTCCCTTTGAGTATATCACTTTAACCCTGTCTGCCACTATCCTTACCAACTTTTGAGCTCCAAGGGAAGAATTAATGATCAGGTTAGTCAAAGCTAAGATACTCACTCAATCGTATTTTGCTAATGGACTAGGTTACATGTAGCTCAAGGTCAGGACTAATACAAGTGTCTTTTTTGTGTGTGTAACGGTATACCATGTGTTAAGTCTATAGGGCATGGCACTTAAAGGACAGCCATCTTTTTTCATCTGATTGGCAGGAAAAATGGGCTGGAAGACTTTCTTAGGGCCCCAGCCATTTCTTTCCTCCCATATTAACTTGAAGGTTCAGGTTTGCTGATTTACTTGACTCAACTTTCCAAAGACGGTCAACATTTTTAGTTAGTAGACGTTGTGTTATATAATACTGTAGCTTCTCCCGTTTGTCTGTTGTTTCTTTTGTTTACACTTTCCTGGGAGCCCAGAGGGATAAAGGATATAAAACAATATCAACATAGAGAATATGCATCTATGAACATTTAGAGAGAGCTTTATAGAGACAGTGAATCATAATCATAGTACTTAAGTACCTGGACTTTGGACTTAGGACTGACTTAAACACTGCTTGAGTGACACTGGACAACTTTTTAGATCATTGCAATCTTCTGTAAAATAGTTATAATAAACTGTTCACCTCAGAGTCTACATGAAGTGTAGATAAGATGATTCACAGAGAATGCTTGACAACTTATGTAATAGGTGCTTAGTAAATGGCCTCGTGGTAAGAAGTTGGGAATCCCAAAGTCACGTGTTTCAGATCTACCAACTGCTCTGCAGGAGGATGGGAAATCTCCTTTAATTTACAGCCTCTTAAAACCTGCTAGAAGGTCAGCCATAAGTTTGTTCCGACTTGATGACAAACAACAACAATAATAATAAATGAGATGCTGGTTAACACTTGTTCTTAGGTGTGATTAACTCAGCTCTGGCACACAGTGGCCCTGTGTATAGTAGAACAAACTTCTGTCCAATCCTGTGTCATCCTGACAATCTTTGCTGTGCTTTGTCCTGTTATTGTAGTCATTATGTCAGTCCATCTTGAGAGTCATCTTCTTTCCCCACTATCCTTTTCCAGGGTCTTGCCTCTCATGACAACATGATCAAAGTATGTTGTCATTGTAGTTTGGTGACATCAAGTTGACTATGACTCAAAGTGATCCTGTGAAAAACAGCTCTGAACCTTGCCCTATCCTGCACTAACCTCAAGATCTCTATGGTATTGACTGTACCGTCTGTTCCATTGAGGATCTTCTTCTCTTTCCCTCACCTGCATAATTACCTCCCTTTTCCAGCAAGGATGATTCCTCCTGAAAATATGCCCAAAATATATGAGATGAAATTTTATCATCCTTACTTCTAAGAAACATGCTGATTGTGCTTACTTCAAGACAACTTTATTTGTTCTTTTTGCATTCCATGGTATAGTTAGTACTCCAACTACAATTCAGAGACATCTGGTCTTCTGTATTCCTTATTTTCCAGCTTTCTTTTTTTAAACTGAGATTTTAATGAAAGTTTATAAAGAACTTGAATTTCCATTCATTCATTGTTGCTTGTTTCCCTACCTGCCCCTCCCCTAGTTTGCTTTTCTCTTTATTTATATATATATATATATATATATATATAAAATTTTATTGTTGTACCATCCCCCCTCACCATCCCAGTCTTTTTTACTGTGTAGCTCTTATACTGGACTGTTAATATACAAATAATACCTAATTATATATTCTTTTTAAGCAGTTCTTTCCCTCATCTGTTTCCAAGCAGTGTACATTATTTATCCCCTCTTTTCTTAGTACCCCCAACCTAAATGTCAGTCCTGTTTTACAACAGTAGCATTATGTAGTATTTGTCCTCTTTTGACTGAGATATTTCACTCAGCATACTGTCCTTCCGGGTCACCCATTTTGTATAATATTTCATCAGTTCCTTGTTTTTCAGTGCTGTGTAGTATTTCATTGTATGAATAAATCACAGCTTCTCCATTAATTTGCTTGTTGATGGGCAGTTGGGTTGTTTCCATCTCTTTCCTGTTGTGAACAATGAAGCAATAAACATGGGTGTACATATATCTCCTTGGGTGACAGTTCTGGTTTCTTTAGGGTATATTCCCAGTAGTGGAAATGCTAGGTCAAATAGTATTTCTATTTCCAATTTTTTGAGAAAGTGACTTTCTGTCTTCCATAATGATTGCACCATTTTTCACTCCCACAAACAATGAATAAGGCTTCCAGTTTCTCTACAACCTCACTAGCATTTGTTGTTTGCTACTCTGTAGAATTTTCCTGTTGTTCCAGGAGTGAGATGATATCTCATAGTTGTTTTGATTTGCATCTCTTGTAGAGTTAGGGATTTTAAACACTTCATCATGTGTTTGCCATCTGAATGTCTTCTTTGGTGAAGTGTCTGTTCATATCCTGTGCCCATTTTGCAATTGGGTTGTTTGCCTTTATCTTGCTGTGGTGCTCAAGTATTCTATAAATT